TAGAGCGAAATGCGATAAAACGAGGTATGCCTATAATTAGGAAGTTAGGAGTAAGAAATGTCTGTGTGAGACTGATTGAGAAATGAGCCAAATCTAAAATTAGTGCATAATGCCTAAAACACTGAAAAAAAAACCAGACAAACAAGAATTAACAATACAGCCATGTTATTAAGAAATATGGAGGTTAGTACGAAAAGAATCAGCTAAAACAATTGAGAGAGGATGTGCCTGCGGAAATTGAAATGAGATTACAGATGCTAGGGACTATTTGTTTTGTCTTGTTTTTTAATCTTATAGATTAAGCTGACTCTTTCAACCGTGTATATGTGTAACTTTGATTTAAAAAAAGAAAACTTGAAAAAGGTGAGGAGGAAGAGATAGTATATACAGGTAACTTTCAAAATTTGTTGAGAAGAGCAAAGAGAGAGGGCAATTATTGGACGGGGATCAAGACAGGATCTTTTTTAAAAAACAAGGTAGAACACCTTTGAATGCTGATAGGAGTGATCTAGAAGAGGGAGAGATTGAAGGTGCACGGAAGAGAGAGTAACTGAAGAAAAAAAGTTGAAGAGAGAGTAACTGAAGAAAAAAAGTCATTGAGACGATGAAGGGGGTTGGATCCTAGAGCACATGTGGGACCTTTGATAAGAGGGACGCTTAGCTGTATTGTTACAGCAGGAAGATAGAGAGGCCAGGGCTGATAATAAGTTTGTAGATTTGTTGGAGTAAAAATCAGATCTCCCATCCAATAAGTTTTGTTTCCGTAGTGAAGAATATGAGGTGTGTTGGGAGTTAAACTGCTAAGGTGGAGCAGTCGTGTGGGCAGGGAAAGAGTTTGAAGAAAAAGAAGATGGTTAATAGTTACCTCAGAGAGTGGAAAATTTCAGGCTTCCCTATGTTAAGAGAGTAATCATATCTATCTTGAGGACTAAAGGAGATAAAGCAGGAGCTCAGTCAGTGTTAATTCCTCTTTCTTTCCTTCCCTTTAGCTTCCCTCATGTAGATGACCACCTTCTCACCTAAA